ATTTCTCATATCTAAATAATTTTTCATTCAATCTCCAAGACCTTCTTGCTTGCGTCACCCCCCCCCCCCCCCCCACCCAAACGGGATTATGATCTGATAAAACTCTGGCACATATCTTTGTCTTCTTCACCCTAGAAAGCAAATCATTGGTAGTTAGTATGAAATCAATTCTGGAAAAGGATTGATGTCTATCAGAAAAGAAGGTAAAATCATATTCTTCTGCATTTCTTTCTCGCCAAATATCTCTCAGTTCGAAATCAGCCATCATATAGAAAAAGGACTTAGGTAGTTTCACTCGCATTTGAGTATTTGGGCGAGAAGCCTTCTGTTGTGAATCAGCAGTTCTGCTGTGAGTTTTTTCTGAATACAAGATTCAGTATGCAGCTGGGGCTTGTGGGAGGCAGGTTTGGAGATAAAAGGATGGATGCTGCCACGCCCCAGTCGCTGGAGTCAACGTCGTTCCTTCGTGTGTTCCTTGTTTGGTACAACATTGCTTGATTATTAATCGTGATTTATGCTTGTTACACTTGGATAAGTGCTTTGGTGTTTCATGTAAACCTGATCCGTGGAGACTGTGGAAGAAGTGAAGTGCTTGTAAGAGTCTTTTGTTTTGCATTCTTGTCGGAGACTTGTATTTTATGTTATTTTTGGGCTCGAAGCCAGTTTGAGCCAAGAACTGATAAAAAGACTTCCTTTTAAGTTTGTCTGCTTGCCGTTTGTTAAGAGCCGTGAAGGGGGGGGACAGAACATATAACTATGTGGAAATAGTTCAAAGTTGCCATTATTATTCCCTTAAAATAACAGTGGGTCTCAATTTATTTTACTACCGGTTTTCTCGTGCGTGAGCACACATGCATAAAAGCTTCTATGCATGCACAGAAGCATCTGGGCAGAGGCTCCCAACACCGCCACTACTGTTCTCCTGATCCGGGGCGAACCAGCAGAAACCCACCTCTGTTGTGCATATTCCCATTGTGATAAGTTAGGCACATTTAAAACTATTTAATTGCTGTCACACCTACTGAACAATATAAAAGCAGTGTGATTTTGGCCTCAAAATCTTTAAAGGAGCATCTCTCTTTTCATGGGTAATAAATGTAGAGACATAAATACCAAACAGGACAATTATGTTTAATTAAAACAAGGACATGCGTCATTGGAGAGTGCTAATCTACCATATGATTTTCTAGTCGTACA